TAGAGTGTTGCCCTGCCAACCTAAAGGTAGGTGGTTCGAATCTACGAGGTACTCTGAGGAAGAAAGATGGACTATCTTCTCCCATGTGACTGCCGCCACTGAAAACCTGGACAGTGAGCTATCAGTCTCTCCCCACACGACAGCAATGAGGCTTTGAGCGCCACATCTCCTACAACTGAGGCCACCCACAACGCATAACTGGGTCCTTGTTCAAATCCTGACCAATTCTCTCTCACTGCGATGACCGGCTTCCTCTGGCCGAGCCTCAAATTTCTCCATCTGTAGAAGATGGTTAGGGTAGCAAGTCCCAGAACCCACTTGCTGTGATTCAGGGTAAGTTACTACACTTCTCTGTTCTGAGAGAGCACATGCAGGACAGGCTTTCTATCCTCATTATTCTCAGATTCCATCTCAGTGGAACCTGGTGGCTGAGAGGTAGAATTCTTGCCTTCCATGCAGGAGACCCAGTTCCAGTCCCAACTATTTGTCAGCGAAGGCTCAGGCAGTGCTGATTGCTGGACAGGCTCCAGCAGAACTTTCAGACTGAGATGCACTAGGAAGGAAGGCCTGGCAACAGACATCTGAAAATCAGTGAAAACCCTATTGGGGTCATGATGGTTGGACTACGACCCACCACAGAGGTGGCAGAGGATCACGGTGTTCGGTTGCATTGTGCATGGAGTAGCCGTGAGACAGGGGTCCAGGTGACAGGAGTCGCTAACAGGGGACTCGCTCTGCAGCCAGTGCTCCAGACTGAGGACCACAACCCTGGCCCCACAGGCTCCCCAAACTCACCCAAAGACACACAAGCAGGACAACATTTCCACTGTTTTATTTGCTTTCTGGGGTGTCAAGTTCAGGTTCCTCCAGAGTCCCCAGCAAAGTCTGGCTGCCCCACCCCCACCTCCTCAGCATCCCAGACACAGGGTTCCGGAAAAGGCACTGCCGGCTCTATGGGGTCAGGGAGACACTATGCCCCTGCGGAGGGTCAGCCCCGCCTGTGGGGACAGGGAACACAGTCACTTTCAGCAAGAAGGGTTTTTCCCTAGAGAAGAAATAGGGCAAGATAAACACCTGAGATGTGTGGGGAGCCCCAGAAACACATTTGGGGGGCTGCTTGGGTGGGTGTAAAGTGAACCCCGCTTTCCTTGATCCCTATGTGGTCTCTTAACGATCCAGCCTAGCTGGGGACCTCAGGGCCTTGGAGAGCAGAGAATTCAACTCACAACCAGCTCTTTGTGGGAGGGTCCTGAGACAGAGTTGAGGGGACACAAAAAAGCTGGGCTCCTCCTTCTCATCCCATGTGTCGCTAAGGGGCAGGCACTTCTGTGGGTCTCTGGGTGGCTGGGGGGAAGCGAGGGTGAGGAGAGAGGGGAGGAGTGGAGGGCAGCTCAAGCCCCCTGCCCCCATATGTTCCATTTGTGACAACTGTCCCAGTCACAGGGACAGGTTTCCAGGCAGCTGAGCTCTGGGTCCAGCTAGGAATTCACTTTCAAGACATGGACATCACAAACTCTCAGCCTGGAGCTGCCATCCTGCCTGGGGTCCCTCCCTGAAAACAGCCAGGGGCTCCTCCCCAGCCACAGCCCGGGACGTCTGAGGCACTTGTGCACCTGGAGAAGGGAAATGGGATAAGGGAGGGAAAACAGAGCCCTTTCCCCATGGAATTCCGGGCCAAGCCGCCCTCTGCCCTCAGCCTGTGGGACCCCGACAGCGCTCCAGCGCCCCCTGCAGTCCCAGCGCGGTGGCCAGACTCAGAAAGAATAGGGCTTTGTCCTGCTGTCCAGGAAGGGGGCTTCCGAGTTCAGACACTCTCAGGGGTGGGGAGGTCAAAGGTCACCAGTCTAGACAGTGGCAGGCAAAAAGAGGCTGGGGATGGGGGTCGGATTTGCAGGAGCAGTGTCCCCTCACCCCATTAACCCCTTCAAGGACTCTGGCAAGTGTGTGTACACACCAGCTGGGCTCCTGCTTCCTGGCCAAAACTAACAAAAAAGCATCTCAAATGTCCTTTGCCAGTAATCCTCCCACCCTCAAGTGGGCCCTTCCTGTTCTAGAAGCTTCCATGGATGGAAGACAAAGAGGAGGGCAGGGGATTCCCTTTCTTGCTGAAGCTACTGCAACAGCCATTTCCCTGCGGATCCAGAATTCCTGATTTGTGTCCCCCGCTCCCTCATTCCCTTGCCTCGGCTGCCTGGGCCAGATGGTACCAAGCTCAGTCCACCAACCTCAATTCCAGCTGCTTGCTTTCTTCCCACCCAGCCATATTTGGTTTTCAAGCTACATACTCACTCCTCGTCACTGACCTTCTGTTTGGTGGGCTGAGGAATGGAGAGAAGATGAACAGAGAGGTGTAGTGTGAGGAGCCTCTGGTATAAAGGAGGCGCCATTATCTGGCTGGACAGTGGCTGGTGAGCCTGCCAGCATTACCACTGTCCCCAACTGGTACACCGAAGCCCCGACCTCCGCTTCTCAACCAGACACTCCAGCATCACTTCCACCTCTTCCCCGAGCCTTCTCTCAATCACCCTCAGCTTACCGTCCCTCCATTACCACTCACCGCCCTCTTCCTCCTCCACACTTGCCAAGTTCCACCTACTTCCTAAATCCCACTCTTCTGGCCCTGCTCTGTGCTCCTCGTCCAGACTGAGACGTGGACAATGAGAGGGGAGAAGGAGTACCACTCGGTTTGCTCTTCCCACAGGGGGAATTCGAGGCCACGAGCGGACAAATGCAGACTGACAAGTTGTGGGGTGAATGGATAAGTTTGACTAAAAGTAAAAGATTTAAAAAAAAAAGAAAAATGATTAAAACCAGGGAAATAAAAAAAAAAAAGCTGGCAGTGAATGAGTACAATGTTTAATAGTTGTCAGATTAAATGAAAACGAGCCAAATGCTCCATGTAACTGATGAGGACAAGCTTGATGGGGAAACGCTCACCAACTGAAACATACACACACTGATTCACTCCCTCTCTCTTAAACACACACACACACACACACACACACACACACTCTTTCACTCCCTCTTAAACACACACACTGACCCACACACTCACACTCACTCACTCTTACACACACACACTCACACACATTCTCACTCTCTCTCACACACTCACACACTCAACAATGACCAGACAATAAGTTACATCTCAGAGGTGACGGAGCACAGGGTACTCAGAGGATAGCAGACAAATGAACATGACTGGGAACAGGAGATCTGGGCTCCAACAGGCGCCCACCTAAACATGACTCTGGTTACCCCTCAGTCCTCCCTTTGTGCCCCATCTCCTCTTTAGAGCCTCCACAGGTCAGACCCTTGGGGAACAGAGCCAGCCAGACTTTAAAACTGCTCCAAACAAGATCCCTGGGGATCTCCAGGCCTTGAGGACCTCACATCCTGACAGTCACAACTGCTCAGAGGGTAGACAAGTAGATGCGGTGATGTCTCCCATGTTTTGGGGGCAGGAAACGTAGTCTGGGGACATGGAAGGGCATTTCTGGTAGACGGGGCGGAGCCCTCATCATTTCAGGCTGCCACCAGCAACCCACAAACGCCACCCAGCACTAACCTGGAGCCACCGACCTGCGCCTACCTACTGGGCCATGGGAAGCCCAGCACCCAGCAGGCATGTCCAACAGAATGCCAGCAACTCCAACTCCCCGACGAGCAGCACTGCAGCCGATGCGGGAGCAGCCCCAGTGCTGGATGGGAGTGGAAGGTGATGCTTCACGAAACCAAAACCAAACTCTGATTGTTTCACAAACAGCTGGGTGCTGGGGAACACGGCTCTGATGCCAAACAGAGTCAGATTCCGGCACGGGGATACAAAGCCGTATTTCTTCCAAACCCAGGAAAATGTTTACCAAGCGTGTGCCTCAAGACACGGGCCTCGCATGCTTACTCTTCCCGCTACAGGGGGTCAAGGTTGGTGGGGCTGAGCTGCCTGCTGGGGGACAGCACCCTTAGACCGAGCTGGGAAATGCAAAGCCACCAGACAGTGAGATAAAAATTGACTCCTGAGTCCTGGGCAAGTCTCCAAAAAGCACAACAAAAAAAGGCCTGTTCTTCGAGCCGCTTCCCTCCTGCTCAAACTCAGAGCGCACACAAACCTCAGCGGTCTCTGGCCCTGCTCTCCTGGAGCCCCCACAGTGAGGAGCAAGAACCTCGTCCCCAGCACCAGGAGGCGGAAATCCAGGCCGACGGGGAGGCAGTTTTGCAGCTGCTGCAGATATGTCACTATATTTAAAAAAAAAATTTAAGTCACATGCACGTTGAAATGACAAGATCTGCTTTTTTTTCCCCCTGGCGAGCCCACTCTGGAGGTCCCATGGGGGCAGCTTAAGTGTCCACAGGCCACCTGGTCAGATGAGAGCCCCAGGGGCACACACCGGGGCACCCAAGTCAGCCCCCAAACAAAGCCTTCAGTCCAGGCTTAAAGGGTGGGAGACAAAGGTGCTGCACCCCAGGCCAAAGAAAAGACACTTCTGTTGTTGGCTAAAGTTTGAGTTTTAACCAAAGGGAATATAAATTACTCAGTGCTCCAAACTAGCACTATTGTTTTAAGAAAAAGAGATCAAGAAAGAGGAAGAAAAAAAAATCATGTCATGTCCCAGGTGGCCCGTACGGGGGCTGTCCAGGATGCGGAGACATGGATTGAGGAAAGGTTCCTCATTTAAATTTTGGGAAAACCAAGTGCAGATGGAGAGTTCTAGAATCCCTTTACAGGCCAAAAACAAGTAGCCTCTGGCATGAGTTTGACTGTAGATTCACTTGGTTAGGATTTCCTGTGGCATTCAGGGCCTACCTGCCCCTCCCTGGAAAATCAAAAGGAAAAATTCTTCAGCTGTCCCCTTCTTTAAATCAACCGTAATTTTCTCAGAGAAAAGGGGTGGGGGTGGCGTGAATTGGAATGCTTCATCCAAATTAGATTCCCAGCTGCTGGCCTGTCCATTCCTGACCAGACTCCAGAGAGTAGGCATCCCTTTGGGGGGTCCCTGGTGGGATGAGGTCTTGGGAGGTCCGAGTGGCCTTCAGTGTTTGTGGCAACAGCTGATTTTGTCTTCTGACTGCTCCAAGACGTCAAGCATCTCCTCAATGATGGCACGCAGTGCGCGGCCCAGCTGGTCTGCATTGTAGGGCTTGCCCAGCGGTGGCACATGGACGAAGGCAGACCGGCCATGACTCTGGTATAAGGACGTGTAGTAGGTGAAATCACAGAGGTACCTGAGCCAAGGGGCACAAGGGGGCAGGAAAGAGACCAAAACCGGGTTAGAGGCAATATAAGCACGGGCCTGAAGCCACCCAAACCTAGAGGAAGACTGTTAATTCTCAACAGCAAGAACAAAAAGACTATGAGATGAATTACCATAAAAGCTGGGGGGAAAGTGAAAAACTCATAATACCAAATGCTAGTGCCTATATGTAGAAATGGGCAGTTTGCTCTACTGTTGTGGGAACAAAAATTGGCTACTTGCCCTGAGGGAGGCAGTTTGGCAGTCTAGCAAAATTACAAATGTGCAGATTTTATGCCCTCGTATTTCCAGTTTTAAGGTTCTGAAAACAGTTTATATTCAACTGCTAACCTAAAGGCTGTCAGCTGGAAGCCTCAGGTGGCACTTGGGATGTTCCCTTGAAGATTACAGCCAACTTGAAGGAATTCAGACTTGTAGCAGCTAGTGAGTCTTGAGTGACCCTTCAATCTACTGCCTTGAGCTAAGCTGTACACCTTGAACTTTAAAGCTAAACAATCCCCCCAAAGCTGTCTTCATACCAAACAACAATTTACCTTAGTCAGTAAAGAATGTCTGCCTTGAGCACTTTGCTCTTTGAAAGAATTATGTGCATGGGGTCAAACTAACAGCAGCCACTCAGAAGGCTGGATGGGAAGCTTAGGGAGGCAGTGAGGTTATCTTCACGGTCGTGGAGTAATTTAGAAAAGAACAGTCAGAGCAGCTAAACAACTTAGGAATGCAATCCACATCACTGAACTGCACACGAAGAAATCAGTGAGCTGGTGTATGTTTTGCTGTGTTTATTTCCATAAAAAAGAAACTTATATAGACATATAAAAGGTTATGGCCAAAAAAGAAGCAATAAAAAATTTTAATTGATAGCCAAGAGTAACAGCCAGGAGTAATTCTATCCTATAACACATGGGGGTCACTATAAGTGGGAATCGAATCATTAGCAACCAACAACACTTTCAGGTTTTAGACCCTATTTCCCCAGAAATGTCTGCACCTGGGCGTGAGGAAGCATCCACAAAGATGTTCACCAAAGCATTAAGTAAAAAGCAGAGAAACGGGATATCTTAAATGCTGATGAAAAGAGAAGTGGCTGTAAATAGTCTAGCTTATTTTACATGACTGAATACCATGAACTATCTTTACACTAAGTTGACTAGATCCAGAATTTGGCAAACTCACCAAAGCCCAAGTGGGATTCCCACAAGTGAAAACAGAGTGGAAGGGAGCCCTTAGAACCTTGTATACTGTATGGCCTTGTTCATGTAAAAGCAAAGCCAGAGAAGATACAGTCCTCCCTCGGCCAGCACTCCAAGATTTCTACCTACCAACAGGTGAGCAAGAGGGTCTGAGGATTTAAGCCTCTGATTAATGTGCCCACTATGGCCAAGGAGAGAGGGGAGACCTTTTAATAAAGGGTTAGTTGAGAATGTTATCTGTGCAATATTAAAACCAACAGCTTTAAAAAGAGAAAGATGGTCAATTCAGTCATTTATTCAGGCAGTCATTTAAATTCGGTACCTCCAGCTTTTTGGCTGGACAGGAGCAGGGAGTGCTGAGAAGTTGCAGTTCCCGGTGTTGGGAGAGTGGAGACAGAGCAGTAAAACTTTGTGGAGGGTGTTGGGGAGTTTCCCCATGGACAGGATGGATGTTGGAGCTGAGGGCTGTAAGAGGAGTTACCAGAGTCAGGAGAGTTCTAGGCAGAAGGAGTATCATGTGCAAAGCTCCTGCGGGTAGAGTGACCATGGTGGGTGTGTTGGGGACTGGGGAGAGCCTGCTTTGTACTCTGCAATGAGGTAGGAAAGGGGACAGTGGAGGTTGGTAAGGGTGGGGCAGGGTCCCAGATGCACAGAACTCTGTGACTCTCAAGAAAAAAGCCAAACCATTTGCCTTTGAGTGGATTCTGACTCTTGGTGAATCGGCATGTTCAGAGCAGAACTGTGCTCCACAGGGGTTTTGGCAGCAGACTACCAGGCGTTCTCCCAAGGAACCTCTGGGTAGATCTGAGCCACAAATCTTGCGGTTGTTAAGTGCCGTCAAATTGGAATTGACTCACAGCTGTCCCTGCAGGGTTTTCGGAGGCTGTACATCATGTGAGAAGAGACTGCCCATCTTTCTTGCAAGGAGCAGCTGGTACATTCCGACCACCTTCCTTTGGGCTGGCAGCAGAGACGTGAGGGGCAGCTCTCTGTAACTCGAGCTCAGGGAATAACTGCACCAGTCAAGAGGTGGGTGGAGCAGGAAGCTGTGGCTAGCAGGAAGCTGCAGGATGCTTTAAGCATATCCAGGAGAATTTGGTGAATTCCAAGAGATTTAATTTCATAAGAGGCTTGGGCTGCCATGGGATGCAGAAACAGGACCAGGGCAGAGGCCACAAGGGTGGAGGAAAAGAGAATCATGATGAGCTTTGGAAGCAGACACAGGTTCCTTCCACTATCGGAAAGCACAGCATCCTATGAAATCTTCACTGGTTGAAATGATATTGTAAAGTGGAGCTTTGAGTAAACCCATTAGCTGTTAACCGGAAAGGTGAGAACCTACCTGCTACTCCTTCAGAGAAAGATGAGGCAGTCTGCTTCTGTGAAGACTTACGGCCTCGGAAATCCCACCGGCAGCGCTGCTCTGTCCTGCAGGGTGCGCTGGAGTACAGTGGACAGCAGTGGGGAGGGCTCACTTACATGGGCGGAATATCTGAGTGTTCCCGGACCCCAAAAATAACCTACCAAATCACACTATCAAATAATATTCATAGATCCAGTGTAAAAGATTAAAGTTATGGTGGTTTGACACTAGTGCGGTTCCCAGGGGAGGGGCATGGTGACGTCACTCTCACTGCTAGGGTGCATGCTGCCTCTTTATTTTTGTATTTTTTTTAA